CCCGCCCCCCCCGCCCGGCTGCGCATCCTCCCTGCTACAGCGGGGAGCTGGAGGGTGGGAGAGGCTGTCCCCAGGACCATGGCAGTGGTACCAAGCCTTGAATATTCCCAGCTGGCTGTGGACAGATCCAACAGTCGGCTGCCAGGGAGGTGGGACACGGCAGTGGCTGGGTCTTTCTGCAGACGGGATGGAGAAAAGGGTATGGAGGGGGCTGAAGGGCAGCGAAGCCGCTCAGTACAGAAGGAGACCTCTGAGAAGCCCCCGAGCCCAGCACGGGCCATGCAGCGGAGGGGACGTGGCCGATGGCTGGTGGGAGGAAGGAGCTCAGGGAAGCTGAGCAGGAGCAGGGTGCTGGGGCAGGGCCATGCTCAGGTGCAAAACGGGAGCTGGGCACTCAGCCCAGCATCGTCTGGAGACGGGGAGCGATGCAGCGGAGACTGCAACGCAGGGACAAAGGGAAAGGGAAAGAAATAGCAGGGACCCGATGCTCAGGGTGTCCAGGAAAACCCCGGCCCCTAGGAAGGGATACAGGCAGGCTCCGCTCCTACGGACTGACCGGGCAGGGGGCCAGGTCCTGCAAATACCCACACACGCGCCGAGGAGCCGCGCGTGGGTAGTTCAGTTCCCTCCACAAATACTTTAATTTGGGAGGAAAGCACAATTCCTTCTTTCATTGCAACAGCGGCATTTTCCCCTTCAGATACAGATTTCTAGAAAACTTTGTCTGAAATACAATTATTTCCCTCCTAATTAGAGTAATTTTTAATTACTCAGACACCTTTGAAGTAGGATAACGAATGGCTTGGGTTTATTAGCAGCCTTTTATCAGCATCCCATGGGACTTCTCTGTTGTCGGGGGATTTAAGCTCTGCCTTGCCCAGAGAACTGTCAGCAAGCAGAGGGGCTCTAGAAACGCACTTGTCTTTTAGGGCTGTGCAGAAGATTGTGGTAGGAATGAAACCCATCACAGAGCAAGATGTTTTTACCACACCACGCTAAACTAGTGCAGACAAGATGGGCTGCTTTAATGTTTCCTAATTAACCACGGGCACGCCGCACATTTGCCAGCCCCCCTCCAAGCCAGGCAGAATCCCCTCCCTGCAAGGCCTTTGGGGTGGGATGCTCCAGCAGGGATGCTCCCAGGGTTTGGGATGGTACCGAGCAACCTCCACCCCCATATCCCAGTGGCCAACATAGCAGAGCGCACCCTGATCCATGGATCCCTAATTTACAGAGGCCGCTTGGTGCCCCTGCCCTTGCATGGAGGTGATGCCTTCGACATCTGCTGCAGAAGACCACCCCAAAATGCTCGACACTGGGTCATCTGTTACGTGCGATGTGTCCTAGGTCGTGCCTGGGCACTTGGGTGGTGCTGGAGGTGCAAGTGGTTGGTAGAGTGGATGTGCCCAAGCCAGGTTCAGTGAACGTGGGGGACTTGTTGGGGGAGAGGACAGCAGGGATGAGATTGGTGAGAAGAAAAATGAAAGACGAAAATACCGGATAGGCCCAGGGAGCCACTGCTGGGTGATGTTCAGGAGAGCTGAGAGCTTGGGAAAGAGGGAGAGAAGAGGGATTTGCAAACTCCCCAGAGGAAAACAGGCTTTAAAAGGTGCCCTTCTCCCTGGTAATGCTCCTAACCTGGGTGCTGGGAGAGCTGAAGGAGGTGGTGAGGCTCTCGGGTAGCATGACGAAATGGAGTTGTCAAACCCCATCCATCAGGGAGGGCTGGAGAAGCCTGGTGCTTCATCAGCCCTGATGGAGAAACCCGGAACAAGGAGCCTGTCCTGATTTTAAAGACTTGCAGGTGGTTTAGGGTACAAGCTTAGCTCTTTCCAAGCTGCCCATGTGGCACAAGCGCCCTCCCCGCTCCACGAAGTCCCCACGCTGCTGAGCATCAAGGCACACTGCAGAGAGCAGCAACAGAGGGGGTCTGCCAGCAAGCTCAGCTGCAGGGTACGCTGCTGTGGTGTCCCGGAGAGCACGGCCAACGCACGTACCTGCACGTTCCTGTTGAGGCTGACGGCGGGGAAGAAGAGGCCCTCCAGGTTCTCGAAGGCGACAGGCCCTTGCTGGTCCTCGTTGATGGAGAACGTCAAGGTCCTCCTGGTCAAATCCAGCAGCACTCCCACCGTGGCGCCTTTCGTTATCCCACCCTCGGTTCTGTAGGGGCGAGAAGATCAGAGCGTCTCTGTGGCTTAATGTCCCTTGTGCTCCCAGCTCAGGGTTCAGGCCATGGACCTTGAGGGATGACGATGCTGAACTTCACAGCTCACCCAGGAGCCCTGACCTGCACCCATCCCAGCCACGCTCGCAAGTCGCTGGGCTCCTCCTCCTCGAGCCTCCCACAGAGGTGTTCTCCACTTGCCGTGATGTCCCTGGGGGCAAAGCCACCAGAGCAGCCACAGCAACACAACCATGGGAGAAAGCAAGAGGACCTGGGGAGCAAAGCTGCAGGGCCCGCTTCAAAACCTGCTGATCCACCCAGGAATGGCCCTTGGGGCTGCAAGGAAGGTGACACCAGGCTCTCCCCAAGCTACCGCAAGCTTTGAAGCCCCCAGCCCCATGGGGAAAGCGAGCAATAGCTGTGGCACAGGGATAAAGGCAAACGCTATTTTCTTGTTGCACAGGTTGCAAGGCTTTGGGTGTCCATGGGAAGGGGGTGCTACACAGGAGCGGTGCTGTGCACGCTCAGGGAAGAGTCAGCACAGAAAGAGCTGCAGTAGGCAGGGAAGGAGCATTGATCAGAGCAAGGCAGAACCAGGGTGGCAGGGACTGTTCTTGGCTTGGGGCAAGGGCGCATCCTCCAACAGAGGCAATTAGGAGCCATGTCACCCATCCCGTGGGCACCTGTAAGCGCCGCTGGGAAAGCCACGGGCTCTCACTGGGCTGAGACTGGGCTGTGGTCTCTGGGAGGAAGACCCTGTTCCAGACCACGTACCTGTTGGTGTGCGAATTGTTGTGCATGAACCAGCTCCGGTTATTGTCCACGTACATGGCCCAGGCCTTGTCGTCCTTGCCCAGCATGGCATCCTTCAGGACATCAATGCGTGCCACACCAAAGGCCGGGTCAGGGTGGTTATCGTAACGATCGATTGACAGCTCCCAGTAATGGAGCCCTTTGGAAAAGCCCGTTTTCCCCAGCACAACCCTGTCATCATAGCTGTTGCAGGTGACAGTCAGGTTGTCATTAGAAAAGATGATGTCAGCATGGGCAGAGGCAGGATCGAAAGAAAACCAAGCAACTGGAATACACAAACAACATCGGGTTAGTCTGGCGGGAGCACGGCCATCGGCGACCGAGCCACGTGGAGCGGACACGGAACAGCGCATGCTGCATAGGGAGGGCACCTTCCGTCACGGGGGGATGCTTTGAGCTTCTGCAGCCGCAGCCTGCCAGCATGGCTGAGGTTTTATGGCCGGGATTCGGGTGGATTTTGCTCTCGCTGCTCCCCGGTGCCTGTCGGTCTCCATCCCCTCCCACCGCCCATCTGCCTCCTGCAGGATCCTCACGGTCTCCTACAATTTGGCCCTAGCAGAAGGAGACGCGCGATCCTGGGCAGGTCTCCAGGTTCCAGCTAACACAACTCTCGTGACTAAGGGTTACTCATGCAAGCAAGAGTTTGCAGGGTCAGGCCCAGCGTGGGAAGGGGACTAAGGATGAGCAGGTAAACGCTGCGTGTGTGTACTTGAGGGCTGGCAGTCTCGGGAACCAAAAGCACATACAAGGTCTACGTTGACAGAGACGCTACGTCACACCGAGAAACCTCCCTGCAGAGCAACCGGCCACACGTAAGACAAGAGCTAGCTCATGGGAAGGCTGGAAAATGCCCCAAAACCTCCATGACCCGATACAGCTGCTGGTTTAAATGCACGGGACTCGGATACAGCAAATCTGACAGATACAGAGTCACATCCTCGACAAGACAAGAGGCATGGGGTTTCACAAGCCACCAGCCCGGTTCCCCAGGTGGTTTTCTCCAGCGGTCACTGAAAACGCGAACTGACACATCCACAAAACACTCTCACGCCTGCAGGAGTAAACACGGCTTGAAAAATAAAAACACTCCGGTGAGATTGATTCATTTGATTTATTGGATCGTTTCACAAGACAGCTCACATGCACGCGGCTGCCCCCGTTTCGCAACCTGACGGAGGTGATTCCGTACCTGCCACCATTTTTTTAATGTCAACTGTGGTCATTCCCAAGGAAAGGCATGCAGGAGAGAAAACAGCACGTCAAGGTGGGTAAGGAAAGAAATGAGAAACAATTTCTGCTTGCCTGCTTCCCCAGCGAGGGCACGGACCTTTCTGTGTTTTGGGGAAGAGACAGAGCGAGGACGGGCTCCGGCTGCCAGCGTGGCCGGCAGGGTGTGCGAGCTGCCAGAGGAGGGAATCCCGTTGGGATGGGCACGGGGCTCCTTCTCCCGGGGGAATGAACGGGCCTGACCTTGCAGGGTGCTGAGCGCCGGCTGCCCCGGGGTGGGGGGGAGGCTGCACAGGACCTGGACAGGCGGGCAGCTCCAACGAGCGCTCGCTCCAATTAGCTGCAGAGGGGCTAATCACCTCCTCGGCATTTGGCCCGTGTTCAAGCACCCTTAATGAACTGGAAAACATATTGCTTCGAGCAGGAAGATCAGTTCTTAATTACAGGGCTGCTTCCAGAGCACTGACTTCAGGCTTCTCTTTAAAACCATTGGGGGGGAAAACTTAAAAATGCCTTTACGTCACATGGCAGTGACCATTCCTCCTCCAAATTTGCCAACTGCCATGGCACCCGGGAGCGCCCTGCAAGCAGGGTGTGCACAAGAAATGCTGCTCACTCGCCAAAGAAAAGTTAAAGATTTAAAAGAAAAAGCAAGGTGGAGTAGGTGCCAGTTAATTGTAATAAATATACTTGCCTAATTGGGAGTAAGGCGTTCCTTGTGTCTCAAAATTGCATCCTACAAAGAGATACTACATTTCACACATCACAGCTGAGAAACAACCGCCTGAAAAACACTCATGAGCATTTAACCTTTAACGAAGCACCCAGCCAGCCAGGGGAGGCCTGATTCATTAAAAGCCAGAGAGCGTGGAGAGGGGTCGCAAATAGGACCCGGGAGTTTGGGTGCGGACCGTTGGCCGTTTGGGTGAGCCTCACCTCTGGGAGGTGTGGAGCATCTGCGCTTTCATTGCCAGATCCCACCGCAGCCTTCGAGAGCATCGAGTCTGACCGCTGCCCGCTCGGGATGCTAAATCATTGGACTGTCCTCCAGAGAAGGGGCAGGAAATTTTAGCCTTGGCAGAATATCTTAGTTGCTTGGTGAGTATTCCCTAGATTGACCCTCAGTTGAAAAACTTTAAAAATAAATAAAATTAAAAAAAAAAAAAATTTAAAAAAATCACTCCTTGGAGGAGAGGGACTGATGAAAGAAGGGCAGCCACTGGCGTGCCCAGTGAATAGGGACCACCGAGCTCTCCCGGGCTGCCTCCCCGGCCATGCGTGCAGTCTGGGCAGGAGCGGTGCTGGGGAGGGGGTCCCTGGGGGCGGATGCTGGCCTCAGACCCCTGCTGGCACCCAAAGGGCACAAGGCTGTAGCTTCGACTGCAGCTGCACGGGCAGGATGTGTTGGGGTGCCCTTCATCCTCCCGCGACCAGGCTGTGCCCTGACTGCTGCCTGCAAACAGCTCCCGGGAGCCAGCCCGCAGCCGGGGACTGATCCAGGAGCTCATCCTGATCATCCAGGAGCTGGTCCTTGCCAGGAGGAGAGGGCAACGTGGAGCCCCACCTTGGCACCGCATGGGAGGGCGTTCGTGGCGGGTGCTGGATTGTAAAGAAACCCCTGTCCTGCTCTGTGCCTGGTTTTTACCTCTCCTCTGGCAATGAAGCAGGCTTTTCACCCTGCTGGCGTGCGTGCCGGTGGGAAAGCATCTGGCTGCAGTTGCGCTCCGTGGCGAGTGCCAAGCAGCACCTCCTGCGGCTGTTTTAATGAATCGCGCCCCGGGCCCCTACTCAACGAGTGGTTTTCCAGGTCTCTGCGCATTGCTGCGACACAAGTTCACCCGAGTGCGAAACAGCACGGACAGACGGGCACATTCCAGACCCCGTTTTGCTCTGTCCCACCACCCCAGACCGCGGCTGCAGAGGTCCGTACTGCACACACAAGTATCGCTCGTGGCCATCGCGCTGGAGCTCTGGACACCGAGTAAGAAACGTCCGTAACAAAACAGAGTTCAAGCCATTAGTGCACAGCAGTACGATGAGGAAAAAAAAAAAAAACAAACATAAAAAGCACAAAGAAAAGAAAGTTGCAGGGCCCCTGGTTATTCTGGCAAGGGTCATGCTGCAGCATTCCTCATTCCGGGTTATGGGATGGAAATCAAACAATCGGGGGCCCCCATTCTTCCTGGGCTTACACCTGAGAAAGCCGTGAATTACTCCATCGGAGCCCATGGAGTGGTGTAAATCCAGAGTGGCGGAAGAATCAGGGCCCAGGATCTTTAGCAACGGAAGATGTGCAAAGACTGGTTAGAAAACAGCTCTGAGAGATGCCCTATGCCT